TGTGACATGAACTGGTACAGTATGTTACCTGATTCTTGATCAATGCCAAATTGAGCTGTTGCATTAGGATACTTATAAAGACCAGTTTGTTCATCCCAATTAAACACAGTCATTAGTTTGTATGCTGTGCTGCCATTATTAACCTGGAAGTTTTTAATGTTGTACCTACCTTCAATGGCCCAAGTTTCCTTAAAAAATACATTCTTGCCAGTGGGGCTAGTAAAGTTAACACTTTTAAAGTAATCTTTCAAATTATGTCTGTTAAATGTTTTTTTCTGTCCTACACATGTTTGGTTATTTGAAAACCAAACAACTGGTTGCTGACAATTGTCTTGAATAAATGTATCCATTGCATGGGCGATGCTATACACAGCATCGATGACATTGGCAACATATGGGAATTGCATGTAATCATCAACTGAAGTGATGCTACTATTGCTGCAATTAATCCCATTAGTGCATTTAAAGACTTCTTCATAATAACTAATGTACCAAGGATTTCGCTTGTTTGTAGAAGCTGTTAACTTTGAAAAGTAGCTATGAAATTTTCCAATTAGTTCTGAAGGTGGGAAAATTCCCTACATCCCAGCAATTACATCACCCATAAAACCTGTTGCTGCTGCAGCAGATGCATCAGTTGCAATCCAGACAAAATTTCTATTGGCAATGTTACTTTCCTTAACAATTTGAGTATGATTTAGCAATTTTTTGGCGTGATCTACTGAAGCCAATAGTACAATCACATTTGCTGTTGTGTTTACGAATGGTAAATGATGGTAATGGTAAATGGTAATTAACACAACAAGAGCCACCACAATGCATGCTTACTATGTATCATGTTAAATGATCGTTAATTTGTAAGATAAATTAATTGTAAATTACAGACACACATGGAAGTTGGAATCAACATTCCAAGTGTTAAAATTAACACAACATACTGTACTAACATTAGCATTCCAAGAGCAGCTTAAGCCCAAGAAAAGATTGCAAATTAGCACTTCATGAATCAAGTTTTATCATGTGCAGGCAGGAAAAACTTTATGACTGTTGCTGATTCCATGTTTAAAATTCAATGGTAGATCTATCAGGGAATCAATAGTGTCAATACATGAGTATAGTAACAGTGCTGATCCAACCAAAAATAGACCAACCAAATCATTATGTGCGATAATGTGCCACAGTGCCAGCATTGAGTCATTAACTGATAAATTTTAATTTGCATTGGGCGTGGCACTCTACATTCCACGGCCACGTGCATGCACGTGTCAATTTAACCTTTGTGAAGTGATGGAATTAGTTACTGGATGTAAAGATAGTCAAGTAAAGTGAAATTGATTATTTTTGATTTTTCATGTTGTGTTTTAGGTGTTTATAAAGGAGGCAATGGTCGTTATTTATATTTCATTCAATAATATGCCATTTTATTTCCAGTGGCGTAGCCAGACCTTCTGTGATGCCTGGGCCAGCATAGATACTATAAATACCAAGTGGATACAAAACAGGATGTGCCTATGCTCTTTTCGCCGGATGTGACGTTTTTCCTAGATACGCTTAGCAACCAAAATGGTGGCAAAATCAATAATTATAAAAAACTTCATAAAAATCTATATTTCTTCTGAAAAGAGTCAGTACAAGAAACAACAGACAATTTATCTTCATTGGTTTCATATTCATACCCTATTTGATCATCAAAAAAATAATATTATAATAATAGTTTCATCATTCTAATATGGTATATCACAATGACATTAAGTAACTTTTTTGGAAGAAACATAGCTTTAAAATAATTATGAAAATATACAAACCGTACAAAAGGCATGTACGTAGACTCATACAAAATTATACCTCTTCAAATAGCATAGTTTTCCAGAAAAGGCGTTTACAAAACAGACCATAAACAAACTAAAAAATGGATATATTTATATTTTATAAAACTGCAGTGGAAAGCTAGTAGTTACAGACCATGTAACACAATAATATCCTTCTTCTACCCAAATAACACTTACTAACTCTGCCCCAGATTGGAGAAAAGGTGTTTAAAGTCAGAACTATAGGCCGCCATGTTTTACAGCACAACGAGATCCAGTGATCAAGCAAACAAGGATTCAGCAAAAAATAAAAAAAGATAATTCTCTGTTTTTATTATTTTATCTGATGCATATACATGTACTTATGCTATGTAGAAAGTTCTAGCTGATTCCAATTTAAATTAGATTTTTTATGAATTTAAGTTGTTCCAAAATTAGG